TACAGAAGTGTTTTTATAACCTCCTTTCACAGGATGACAAAATCTCCTGCCTGTAATTTAATATACGTATCTTATCCTACACATGTCTTTTTCCATCTCTTTGAGTTCTGAATGAAAAATAGAGCTTCAATCTTTAGAAGACTGAGTAGCGATTGAAGAACTGTTTATACTGGGTGGGATAGCTAAACCTAATCCCCAGCCTTCTTCTTTTACCCGACGTATAAAAAACCGGCAAGTAAACTGGAAATCAAACCTGAGCCTCACACCTAGTGGCTGGTTAGCATTTTGCCACTGAACCATAGACAAAGTCAAAAGAATCTGCTTACTGCTCATTAGCTTCCCATAAGATTGTATACAAATACATAAATTTTAAACTTAATTTGTCTTTGTTTTTAACAACTAAAGTTATATTTGGTCAATATTATTTCAATCTCTATGAATTGGTCTTTTATTTTCTTTCTCCTCAAATTCTAGTCTACTTATCCTCCAATTCGATGTCCTTGTGTTTGTATTTAATTGGTATATATATATATATACTTGAACTAATTTAATTTCTTCCTGTCTCCCTCTTCTTCCTTGATTACCTTTAAGCATGAGTTAATTTGTTAACATATTTTGTGTTCAGAAGTAGAGAACAGACACTTCAAAAACCGGTTTGTAGATAATTCTCTGCATCGATTCTAAAATGATAATGTTAACGACAGCAAAAAGGTATTGATGAGCAGTGAGAATGAGATAGGTAATGCTAAAAAGATTCTGAAGAAATCTGGTAAATTCAGTTGTTAGTTAATTAAATAATATTATGTGGATATATATGAAGATGATAATCACAATGAGGATATTGATAATGATGATGAAAGAGAAAGATATAGGTCAAGGTTGTATAGGATAAGATTGCCTTTGTATGCATTTATCTTAATTTTTTGTATTATTGGTTCTATAACAGTGTTGAAAACTATACACTTGAATTAAGATAATAGTTTAAAAGTCAATACATACCATCTAGGAAAAGGTTTATTTATGTATTTGTTTGATTGTAAGCTAATTGAGGAGTATGAACTTCCCTTTGGTGACTTCACAGATGTGAAGAAGATAAATTTAACTGAAGAGCCATTAAAACACTTTGGACAACTGAGGAGAAATCTTTCTTTTTTTGAATGCTTGGATGCACCTGACAAAAAGCGGTATACCTAGACTTTGTGTTTAACAGACACTCATCTGTGAGGAAAAGTCAGCAACATTAATTAGGATAATTTTGTCTCAAGCAGCTGAATCCGTGTCAGCCATTGAGGAAGTCAGAAACTTTACCAGTAGGCTCTTCCTAGTATGATTGGTTATCCAAGGGACTGTAATATATATCGGCTGATTGACCATTGGAAAGTAATCGGTGTTATGGTGCTGTCTGGTGCATGGTGTTCGAAACGTTTACAGCATGTCATTTCAAAGAGCGATACAATGGGGAAATTTTCGGCTCTGAAATTACGAAAATTCCCTGAAAATTACAACCATCATGCACAGTGAATGTGATTGTTGACTGAGTGCATATTTCTTTGAAAAGAGTTTAAATAAGGACAGTCTAAGCTGTGATAACAGTGTGGTATTCACAGCATTTGTTTAGCTAAGACTTGGAAAATATTGTGCGTTCTCAGATTTTTGGATGAATTACTATAGTACCTGGAAAATTCACACCTGATGACCTAAAACTTTTCAAACTTTTGAAGATTTAAGCTCAATCAGTTTCCATTTAACTTCTGCTGTTTTCTGCATACTATCCTGACTTCCTATACTTTTGGGTTGTTTTTGTATTGTCATTAGCGTCATTCATACATTTGTTTACCTTTTCACTCACTGTGTCAATCAGTGAGTAGTGTATTGACGTTGGTAGGTAGAAAGCATTGACAGGTGTCACGCTGTCTCATTCTGTTTACTGATCATATTTGAGTACTTATTAAAATAGTACAGACTGATTAGTTGGATAAGTATGATAACGAGGAACGAAAATGAAAACGATACATTAAAAAAATAGTTAGAAATTATCTATCTATTCCTGAAAACATTTCTGTGATTATGTGATCATATCTACCTTCATATATATATGTGCATGATCAGTTGAACGAGATTCTTTCGATATAAGTTAAATGGTGGCTTGACCAAACAAAAACAATAAAGGTAGCATACTGATGTAACGCAGAGGTTCATTTCAGGTCTTCTATAAGGGACGCTTTTCACAAGTCTGTCATGCTAGTCAATCTTATAGATGTGATTTTTTCTTCTTCTTATTGTATCCTTTAATTCCTACAGGAACATAGGGCTTCAGCCGTGCGTCTCCATTGCGTTCTGTTCTCTGCTAGAGTCTTCACCTGGCTCCAAGTCTGCCCACACGTTTTCATCTCCTCTTCACGTGACCTCCTCCAAGTCACCCTTGCACTGACGACCAACTCGCCGCTTCCCTTCCAGTCGGGTTCCACTCGAGCAATGGCTTGTCTAGTGATGTCACTCACTTGATGGTTTGTTTCCTCAGAGTATGGCCAGCCAATCCATCTCCATTTCTTCCTGCCTATTTGTTTCACAATCGGTTCCTGCTGTGTTGGTTCGCTCATTGCCAGAGATCCCTCTCTGTTGCTGATCTCTTCTGGCCGGCCATCTGATCTTGAGTATTGAGCGAAGACAACTGTTAATGAAGGTCTGTAGTTTGTTTGAGATGCTCTTTATGACGCGCAGTGCAAGTCTCTGATCCATCCGTATAGTGAGTAGCACTGACTGACTTCACATTGGAGTTGAAAATCCGGATCTTATCTTCGTTTTGATGCTGAGTGCTGTTGACTCCTCCACACAGACTTGAGAGTAGTGAAAGCTTGTCTTGCTTTTCCGATTCTTGCTTTGATATCCTCGTCAGTTCCGTCTTCCTGTAGTTGAAACGATGCTCCCCAGGTCGGTTGGTGAAGGAGGTTGTTTCTTTCAGGTTCCTTTTCTTTTTTTTATGCCATCTTATGCTTCTTCTGCCAACTTGTTGCTTTTCTTGCATATTTCAGTTTTGAGAAATCAACATATATCATCGACCGATATCTGCTACCTTGACGTGGTGGTCGGGCTTGCGTATCGCAATGACCCAACGAGCTACACTGGCTGGAACTTATGTTCCTGTAGGTTCTACCATGCCAGAAAGGTTGTTTGGATAGCGGTTAGACAAAAAGCAACTACCCAATCCAATACTATGACTCAAACAAACTCACAAAATATCATGCCGGATCGGTCGGGGCCCGGATTAACAACGACCGCGCTTCCTGCTGCTGTGTCACAGGGCAGAAGTGATAAATATGCTATTGAGACACACCAAACAAGAAAGATTTTTTCTTAAGTACTAGAAATCTGTTGACTAGCAGTGAAGATTCTCAGAAATGTTTCTAGCTTCTATGTGAGCGTAAGCAGAGCAAATAACACATTTTTACTGATGGTTATTGAGGAAAAATTAAACTGCGATGGTGTATGCATATGTGTGAATGTCTCTAAGTATTTACGTTTTATCCATGCATCTTCTTTTTATTCCTTTGGGTTCCGAGTGTAATATAGGGCTTCAAGTTTGAGTTCTGCAGTTCACTAGCAGTGGTGTTACTTCTCAAGGAATGCAGTTGCTAGCCTTACTCTCAACCTCCCCTCTTCGCCGATCCCACTACCGGCAAGGTTTAAGATTCTGTAGGCCGGGAATCGATGAGTCGGTGGCATAGTGGTTAGGACGCTCGCCTACCATGCTCATGGTACGGGGTTCGATCCCCAGCCGACGAACTCCTATACCTCGCTAAGCCAGAACTAAATCTGATGAAAAAGAAAGGTTGGGCATGAGGCTAGCAACCCAATCCTGTAAAAATAAACACTGCTACAATCAAGCCACAAGCTTGAAGACTTACTTTCCACTGGGGAACGTGAAGGGAAGACAAAGGCCGGGAATGGAACCCCGAACTATGAGGGCGTTTGGTGAACATTTTATCACTGAAGCCCGATCACTTTCCGTCTTCCTGGATACCCATTATTAATGAGATCGGTGTTATGAGAAATTTTCTTAAGACTTTCTTCCCTTATAACAGCAAAATATACAAAGGTGTTCTCATTTTACAATCATTCTTGTGCGTCTGAATGAATTTTCTGCTCTGCCATAAATATCCTGCCACAGGTTTCTAAGTCTGACCTCTTTTGAATACTGATATGTGAATAACGTTGAAGGGACATTCCAGTTTCTAGACGTCACGGTAGGTTTTCTTACTCTTAGGATTACTGAAACTTAAGTATCTCAGTGAAACATGAGAATTCTGAATATCTTTGCCAAAATAATCTCATAAATTGCCAGTACACGCCTACATAGAGAACATTATTATTATTTTGTTCCCTTGGGTTCCTAGTGGAACATAGGGCTTCAACTGCAAGTCTCCACTTGCTTCTGTCTTCTGATTTACTTTTTATCCGCGTCCATGTTAATCCATACTGTTTCAACTCCTCTTCACATGACCTCCTCCATAGAGAACATAGTTTAAGATTATTTTTTATAACTTTGCGTTCGCGGCGGAACGTAGGGCTTCGAGCCTTAGCTTTAAAGTAGCAGTGTTGTTTTTACAGGGTGGGGTTGCTAGCCTCCTTTGTCGAGATTGCAACCGACTAAGGGGGGTAAAGGTGTACGCCGGCTGGGACTAGAACCCCGGCTCACGTGCATGGCTGGCCAGCGCTCTACCGCTGAACCACTGACGTATCATTTAGGATTTACAAGCTCCTATCGTTTAGGATAGCAGCTTATAAATCCAACTCGAATCTTGGCTACATTGTCGTTATTTCATGTAGTGGAACAATAGATTGCTAAGATGCTTATTACATCACTCGAAATCCTAATTAAAAAGACTATGTCATGAAGCTCACTTACTTTATCAAGCAATTTTTTTTGATTTATTTCATTGTTTGAAACGATATTCATTATTCGTTTTTAATTCCTTGAAATTTTTTCTTCACACCTACAGACTATGCTGAATTTGTATTCCTTGGCTTGTTTATTGTCGAAATGTTACTGAAAGTATATGGATTGAATGTACGGATCTACTTTGAATCGTCTTTCAATATCTTTGACTGTGTGGTAAGATAACTTGTTCAATTTCAGCGTTAACTGCTTATTTATCAACTATGATGTTCTACTGATGTAAAATGGTATTGCTGCAATTCCCTCTTTGTTGGGCTTACAACCGGCTAGGGGAGGTAAAGGTGTGTTCCTGCAGGGCATCGAACCCTATGCACAATTGATGAGCATTCTACTGCTGAACCACCAACGCAGCAGTTACTAGGCAATTGACCTTGAGTTCTTTATCATTATGGGGACATTAAAGATGGCAAAATCGGGTGGAAAACATTTTGGTGTTCCAGGCTTGCAAGAAATTTGATAAGTTTACTGGGTGTTTTATTAAGAACTGAAAAAGTTGGGGAAACGATGAACATCAAGGCAAATTGGAAGGTTTATTCATCCTTGTTTGGAAGTCTTCAGAAACACATATCAACCAACCCAACAAGAACATAACTTATTGCTTTGAGTTTACGTAACCTTCCCGTCGATCATCCGGCCACCAAGTTGAAATTTAGTGACTTCTGTCAATTCCAGATATAACAAGATCAGTGAAAAGTTGAGTCAATGAGCATCCGCCAAGCACTCCATCTGATTGACACCACCGATTACGTTTTCTCAGCCAGAATTCAAAACATCCATCTTGTAGCCAGTAGTGTGCAGCAGATTTGCATCCAGAAGCTTTAAGATTTGTAAGCGAATGTCAACCTTTTGCTCATTAGTAGCAAAAGGATTAGCATCCTGAGGTTCTAATGAGAACTTATAGCCCGTTGGGTGCTAAACAGGTACTCATCTACCACAGCTGTTTTGTCGATGGTGATAAGATTGTAAACAATCATCAGGAATCGTTTTGGCTAGTTACTTAGCTCAAAACGAATCACTATGAAAGACTAGATAAAAAATTGTTAGTCTTTAATGTCCAGTTCATGATAGGGTAACTTCTCCTACTATTAAAAGATTTGAATAGATAAGGCAGAACATCTCGAAATGGTGCACAACGATATTCATCGAAATATTTTTCCTGATTTTGTTACGTAATTATGCTATCAAAGATTTCTAAAATATCATTATATGTCACTGTGGATTCCAAGACTTATACTCAGAGTAACTTACACTCAATTCGCTCCAAAAACGATTGTCAATGAGAGTAGACTTGATAAAAGACGAATTTCGGCAATACTAACTTGGTGTGCGTCCTAAATAGCCCAGGAAAGAAGAATAAGTATGATACAAAGATTACGAAACTGTAAAAGTGTGGTGAGAGCTGTCTACTAGCCAAATTGGTAGACAGTAATTTACGTCAATATTTACGTTCCCAAGATTTGTCGTGAGAAAATGTGAACAAAGATTGATTCAAAACCGACCACAGCAGACTTTGCATAGGTGGATGCAGTTAACATATAGAGGATTTGACATTCAAGAAACAGTCACAAATAGATGAAAGATTAACTTAACGTGAGAAACAACCAATCGGAAGACTGCGTTTGTTTGCTTAAATATCCATAGCAATGTACATGAAAATATATAAATATGCGTTGATTTCCTTAATAAATGATCTGTTGCCTGACTCTTGCCTTCTGTCGTTACAAAAGTAGGAACTGTTTTAACCTCCTCATATATGAAAGGCTAGACAAAATGTCTTTCTAGAAATTAACATGATGTGAGAAGACGGGGAAATATCCAGGGAAACACATATTTCAATGTGTTTAACAGTCGCTTTAGTATCAAATTCAGTGCCTTCTATGATATGAGAATCACGGAAACCCGCCAGCACATGTAAATCACGCCTGTGTCTGACATTTGAAGGGATTCAGCCTAAGATCATTTGACATGGACAACTGACTAATTTCCGATAAAATGCTTTTCACTTTGTAACAATCTGACCGAGAAATAACGAGTATAGAAACAGTTAGATCATCGGCACACTTAACAAAACTAGCTCCATAAGAATGAGGCAAGTCACAAGAGGAGAAAATAGAAAGGGAGGAAGAACAGCACCTTGAGCAACACTGGCTACAGTAAGTAAAGCAGCGAAAGACTTCCCTTTATACACATTGTATTATTTAATATCAGAAAAATAAGAATGCAAGTATTTACTAATCCAACGCTCCATTTGTGTCACACATAGAGCTTCTTTAACAAAAGAAGTCTAGGTATGGAATCAAAAGCAAATGTGAAACCTCATTTCTCAAGTGAGACACTTTTTATAACACTGCCATCAGAATATCATCTACACCAGCAAGCACTCAAAGAATTCCACAGGTAACGTGTGAACTCGTAAATCATAGAATGTATTTGTTTGCTGTATGAGTAACTTTCTTTGTTTTCGTTCCATTCCCGTTTTACTTTTATTTACAGGTTATTATAGGAAGTTTATTTGAAATAATCTGGGGATTTTTTCATCCAGATGCATCTTTTGGGATCAGCGTTCTACGTGCTTTGCGGTTGTTAAGGATTTTTAAAGTGACAAGGTAAGGAAAATATATGATTGAATTTGTGTCTCATTTATATCTTGTTGTGTATACCTTCGAAGTTAGGCTAAGTATTACGCGAAGCGAAGACAGTTATAGTTTGAAATAACTGGCATCGTAGAATTCCCCAATAACTAATGTCAGCACAACGGACTGGTTGAAACCAAGAGGTTTTGAACAACTATTGTGGCGTGTGCTAATGATACGATTTATCAATAGTAAATAAAGATACGTTTATCGGCATAAAACACATCAAAGAGCAGGGAGATAGATTTGATGTTACAGAAAGCAAATGATAACGCCCTGCGGCGATACATGGGAGACGTGAAAGGAACACAAAGAAACACTATATGAAGGTCAGAAGTAGCACAACATGGAAGATCTGCGCAAATGGTGCGTTGAAGATTGGGTGTACATAATGGCAAATTAACATTATTCTGCCAAGTCTTTCACCTTCTACCGTTACACTATTACGTCCAAGCTGAAGACTTACTATGTGAAATAGATATAGTCTATCGTAGATTATTTCTTCTTTACTTTTAAGTAATTGCACAACTGAATTTATATTTGTTTTATTCAGCTCAAACTTCACTTAGAATTCAGAAGGTTTAGGATTGTGAGTGATACATAACAGATCATAAACATAAAGGCCTTCTATTTGCCAAAGATACAAATTATAGTCAGCCGCTTCTCAGATATGTGTTTGTGTGTAAACTAGTGAAAATTATTCATATGGTATTTTTAAGTATTGGTTTGTAGGGATTTCATTGATTGGCTACAGGATTTCATCATCATCTGACATCGGTTAGAGAACCATTGAAAAACCTGGTAGTACTGGACAGCTGTTTCGTCCTAGTTTGGAACTCTTCATCAGTACGCAGTCACTGCCAGGGTTCGAACCCAGAACCTTCTGGTTACAAAGCAAGCTCGTAGACAATTAAGCCACTGGGACCCAATCTAATGGCCAGACCATGAATACTAACTTCTGCCAATTCAAGACATAGCGCGACCACTAGCCAATGTCTTCGGCGAGTATTTGTCCTCACACCCGACCAGATAGGATTTTACACAAACGACAAATATTAAAAGTCGGATGATTTATGTCTAATGTCACGCAAACTGGAAGACTTACAGGCGAAAATCAACAGGTTGACAGAATAGGTAGGTGGTAAAGACAAGATTTCAAAAGAACATAGATAAGACAGAGGTGATGAAGATAATCACCGACCAACGAAAACAGCAACAACAAGCACTAATCACAATTGACGGGAGAAGTTTGGAAGAAGTCAACATTTTCACTTCTCTAGGCAACGTTGTTTCAACTACAGGTGGCATGGATTAGGTTGTCAAAGTCATAGTGGGAAAATGAAGACAGCCTTTCATTAACCTGAAATCACTCTGGACATCTGCTGTACTCAGCATAAGGAGCAAGATTAGGATTTCCGACACCGATATCAAGTCAGTTCTTCTATATGGTATGGTTCATTGACTTGATGAGTCACGGTTAGCAGTCTTTTATCAACAAACGGCTTTCCTTATCTGTTCATGTTGCCAATCAGTAAGGAAAAGGAAGAAGAAACTCTAGGAGGAAACGAACAAATCAAGAACCCGAAGCTCAACAAATATGTAGAAGGGAACAGAGACGGATTGAACATACGCTAAGGAGACCGTTCAGTAACCTCACACGCCAGACACACACTCGACTGGAACTCGAATGGAAAACAGTGAGTTGGATATTGGTTCCAAGTATGACGTGGAGGAGATCGTGTCAGAAGGAAATGAAGGCCTACGGGCAGTCATAGAGCCAGCTAAAGAGGACCACAGAAAATTGGATGAAATGGAAATGTGTTTGGAACCTTATTAGTTTTTTATTAGATATATCACACAGTGAAACATTATTATTTACTGGATGACGTTTCGAACAAAATTTATTGTTCATAATCATATCAATTGTAATCACACGACTTTGAAACTTGAGTTTTATAGTTTTCTTTGTTTTCTCCTATTTGTCGTCGTAGGGGTAGTAGAATTTTCCAGATATCTGGGACAGGTGATGAATCATTCCTATTACATGTATTTGTAGTTGATTCGATAAACAAAGCTTCTGTTATCAATCTCTCCCTCCACCCTGTGACATTAGATTTTAAAACTGTCATCCTATCCCATCCTATTGTATGTTTGTGTGTAACTGCATGTAGTGCTACAGCTGAACTATTCTCTAGATTTATTATCTTATTCGGGTCAACCAATCTAGATTTTGCTAAGTTTTTATGTTCAGCTAGTCTGACTGCCCCTGTTCTACTGGTTTGACCTATGTATTTGACCTGACAATCATTCCAGCAGGGTATTAGATAAACTAAATTGTTTTGTTTTAAAGGCTCTACAGGATCCTTTAACTGACAAAGCTTGTTTCTAATTGAGTTTGTGGGTTTGAATGCCAGCCACTTTTATTCCTGCGTAAGGCTTCCGAGGTTCCTTCCTTGTATGGAATTACTACTGATGATTTAGAGTCCTTATTGTTGGTGTCGTCATTAATATTATTATTACTACTATTATTATTATCATTATTATTGTTATTATCACTATCCCTACTATCATTATTTATTTTATTTTTACATTTCTTTACACATTTCCTGACTAATTTATCCGGGTAATTATTAAGTTTCAAGGCTTCTTTTATGTGTATCAGTTCCTGTTTTAGATTTTCTTTGGTACTACTTAATTTTTGTGCTCTGTCATTTAAACATTTCACCAATCCTATTTGTACTGACATAGGATGGGATGATCGGAAGTCCAAATATCTGTTTTAGTGTGTGGGTTTCCTGTAAATACTAATGTTTAACTCCCCATCTTCCTTCCTTTTTACGTTGCAATCTAACATTGGGAGCTCCCCTTCCTGATTTTCCTGTTCATAAGTGAATTGAATTGCTTCAACCTTCGAGTTGATGTGTTCGAAGAACCTGTCTATATCTTGTGTTCTAAGTACAGTGAATGTGTCATCTACGTACCTCCACCATACTTTTACGATGGGGGTGAACGTTTCAATCGCTATGCTTTCCCACTTATCCATGAATATATCTGCTACCACTGGGGATATTGGTGATCCCATGGCAACTCCTTCTGTCTGTTTGTATATTTTCCCTTGGAATTTAAATACTGTGGAAGTCAGGCATAGCTGTACTCCCAGGATTATGTCCTCAAGTGGCACTTTTGTCCTAAGTCCGAGTTCTTGGTCAGAAATGAGTTCGTTTCTGACTGCCTCTATAGCCATATTTATTGGTATACGTGTGTATAAACTGACAATGTCAAAACTAACCATTTTTTCTTCATTATCTAATTTTATATTATCTAATCTATGTTTGAGTTCATAAGAATTAGTTAGTCTAGATTTCGAGTGGATTTTTAGGGGATTAGATAGTTATGAGTGTGTATACAAGAAACCTATCCTAGCTACTTCCCAGTTCGTAATGAACTTTACTAAGTGAACAAGGAGTGCCATTATAGCTAGAAAGACAACTTGCTCTCCACAGGCTCAAATATCTGTCATCTTAGTTAGTCGACAACAATTTCAAACGAATCGACAGTGCAAAGATACCAGACTACGGGAAATCTATGAACTGGCCGAAATGATTAATTCACCCTTTGTAACTTATCAATTCTTAAGCTGAAAAGAATCTCTATTTCTCAAACTTAAAGAACAAATTTGATTACGTAAATTTTTCAAATGGTAAATATTGATTTCTCATTTCCTTTCTTACTAACAACTACTATTCATTCGTTCTGGTATTTGATATTTAATTAACTTTTTTTCTTTTTGGAAAGGGAGAGGATGTTGTGACGTACATATTGCTTTCGCATATTATTATTATTATTTACGTATTTATTTATCCATCTGTTCAGAAAGTCAAATAAGTCATATGAGCAAATTTGATTTCCATATTATTAGTATTATTATTATTTTAGTTTTCATTTTCCTTTTTCGCCTCTTTGAAATTCACTCTGTCAAAAATTAGAATCTTACACGCCAAAGTGAAATTTTCAACTTCCTGTAAATCTTAGAGTAAAATTTCTCTCATAGCAAACATTTTTGTAGACTATGTGCACACAAAAGACAGAATTAACTCTGTTTAAACAACAGCAAAATAAAAGACGCGTAGAATTTCCTGTCTAGTCAGTCTTTGTAAAGTTTGTATTTCCAGCTATTTGCGAATTTCATCGTCAGTTTTTCTTGCGTGGTCACAGGTTTCTTCAGAGAATATTACTTCTTTTAAGTGAACTGTTCGCTTTCTTCATTCACAGTCAGTAGAAATTAATATACCATGTTGGTTTGCAGGGATTTGATCGATTATAGGTGTTTGATCAAGGGGCGATATCATTTAGAGTACCAAGGTTTCATAATTAATCTGACGCTTAGATGTGTTTACCGACGGCTTCCATCAAGTCAGGTAAAAGAACTGTCACTGACCTATGAAGTCGGATGGTGGTTGCGCCACGTATGACGCCAGTTGTCAGAATTCGGAATTCTCAGGTCATTAGATTTCGCCTCAAAGGGTTGAATAGCCTATGAGAATGCTTTATGACTGGAAGAAACTGGTTTCAAACGCCGGTGGTCGTGTACTGAAGAGGAGTTTCAAACAAGGGCAAAACAGCTGTCCAGTACTCTTTGACTTCCCAGTCGTTCTCTAACTGATGTCATCTTTAGGGATAGGAAAGCTGAAAGTAACCCTAAGACGGTATAAGTTCCAACAAACTGAGTTTCAACGAAGATTCTTATAAAGTTCATTGATGGTCTTGTTGTAGAGCAATACGATGCTAATCAAAGTCTATAAATTGATTCTAGTATTTCAGTGCGGTGTCGTTGTGTTCTATGAAGTGAATGATTCACTTGAGAAGCTCACATTATCTTTCTAGACATATTCAGCTCTGAATTCACATTGCAATCAATAATGATAATGCTATCCAGAAGGAGGATAAAAGCCAAGTAGTCAAAATATCTACCT